AGAGCCTTAGGGAACACCTGTGTTCGTGGGATAGGAGCTGGAGGAGAATCCGTTGAGAACGACCTTCAATGTAAGGTGCATAACCACTTCGGCGTTGATTAAAGCTTCAAAGACTTTGCCGAAGAGTGATAGGACGGTAATTAGAAGGGTCAGAAGTTCTTAAAGATAGGAACAATGGATGAGAACTTCCAACAGGGTGAAAAACAAGATTCAGTGAGGCAGTAGTTGTAATTTGGAGAGGGCAGGGGCCAGTTGTGCTATATTTATGGGATAAAGTGCTCAATATCAGTGATAGAGCGTATGTAAATATAAATATAAAAGTGAACATTGAAGTCAAGACTCAGAAGCGACAGGCTATTTCATGCTGGACGCAACCGTCAGGCTGCGAATGCTGGATATTTCCACGGCTATTTATATATATATATATATATGGGTTAGTGGTGCATTGTGGGTAATCTATTCTGGCGGTTATTTTGCGGGAGTAGCTTGTTTGTTTGCTTATTTGTTTGGGTTAATTTATTTTATTTGTTTTTCATTTATTATTTTCGTTTTTCGATGTAGTAAAAAATTTATTTTTTTAACGTGGTAAAAAATTTGGGGGAGGATTTTCTTAGGTCACTTATTTAATACTTTGTTTTCATCTGAGAAGATAATTAAAGCTATTTATTCGTCCAATGTTTAGATTGCTTGCCGTAGTCTTTTCTGTTATTTTAGCGGGTGGGCAGTTTTTAATTTATTTATTTGGATTTTTTTTACATGGTTATTGCTTATTTATGCTTCTTTTTATTAGTTCTAACGGTTATTTTAGCGGGGGCGATTTGTTAATTTGTTCATTTATTTATTTATTTGGATTCATTTTTATTAGTTTTTATTTATTTACTTATTTTTTATTTTGTATATTTTTATTTATTCTATTTGCTTTTCGATTTTTGAGTAACATATTAATGTTTTTTATCATTATATAGTAGTTATAGCTATTTTTACGTCAATTTTTGGATTGGTTGTTGTAGTCTATTCTGACAGTAAGTTATTTTGTAAACTAAATTAATATTATTTTAATTTAAATTGTTTTAACTACCCAAATGTTCTTTCAAGATAAAGTTCAACCTTTCTTCTTCAAAATAACATCGACATTAATAAATGAATTTTGAATTTAAATACTTTTAATTTAATTTTAAAATTAGGTATTGCAGTGAATTTTTAAAAAAATCCTTTAACAAAATTTAACATGTTTAATAAAATAATATACAATATTATCAAGAATTTTTTTACATAACTTTAAAAAAAAAATTGAACATTTAAAATTAAATCTTAAGTCATTGAAACGGATGAAAACGTATCTTTTACCCACAAAAATAGACTTCCCCGGTTGCTCCTTTTCGCCCCACGTTTGAACTGGTCAAAAACCTTTCTGGTTAATGGTTACATGACAGAATCCGAGTCTTAAGAAGGGGTTAAGAATAATCTCCATGAGTTAAAGACCTTTTAAAAGTCAATAAAAAAAGAACTTTTCATGTGACACTAAATTCGTCAGACTTCCCTATATAATCTTCAGAACTGAATAATAAAAATTTTTCGTCTAAATCTGTCCGAGAGGATTGCCAATTCAGAAAAAGACTTGTAGCTAAAAGCTACAACAAAACTCGCTAAAAGTAGCTAAAATGTTTTTTAAAAATCACCAAAAATGTAGCTAAATGCAAAAAAAAAAAAAATTAAAATGGTTGAAAATCTATTCTAGCATCACTGTCAGTTCTTCTGTAAATTCGATCGTCTAGTATTTCTTCAGTATGGCTCTGTATTCTTGTAGGATTCTAATGTTACATAGAAATTACGTTTTCTGGCAATTCGTATTCATAACTTTATTTTCCCACTTTTTTAAAAAGAGATCTAATTGTTAGTATGCTATAGTGGGTTTTGTGCTCAGCCGATCTCTTAAATTAGTTTTAATTATATTCAATTGGCTATATAGTCGTTCCACTTCTGCATTTGAATGAGGAAATGAAATAATTAATTAGTTACAAGCTAACAAGGTGATGAAAGGGATTTTCACCAGTAGAATCACGGTAGTGAGATACTTCTTCACAGAAATCTAGAGTACTAGAATTCTCTCTCCATTATATCATGTGGAGTTTGTCCCATTGAAACTCTATGCGAGTAAGCGAGTAAGTCGTCATCGAAGAAAAACATTTTTACAAGGCTATGAATATCCCTTTTGACTGGGTTCAGACCATGATCAATACTCAATGAAGACATTGTTTGTAAAATCGAAATATTGTCAGGTAATCTTTGATGAAGTTTATTTATGAAGACGAGGTAGTGGCTACGGGTATTTTCCCGTCCTCCACAGAAAGATTTCATTTGATGATTTCAGTTACAAATAGATAGCCCAAATATGGATGTGGGTGTCACAAATGATTTTTGATGACAATATCATTCGGTATCTTCGTTCCACGGATGCCAATCTTCGAACAACAAGATTCTATTAAATGCAATAAGTCAT